TATTAAGGAATTTAGCCATAATACTTAGTTACAGTTGAGATACTGATGAGTGTACAAAACTTAAAGGATGACCCAAAATAAATTAAGGTTAACAATAATCTGATAAATTTGAGCAGTTAAGGTGGAGAACACAGAAAATTCAAGGTGAACTATTTTCCCTTAACAATCCAATTTGGTAGTTTAGACTACCCACCTCCCCCAGTTCATTACTATTCACTTAGAGATAACATGGGATAGTATGAATAAATGAATGAATAAGCACTGATTAAGTACTATGTGCCAAGGGGAGACTAATAGTAAAAGAAGATAGCCTTTGCTATCAAAGTGTTCACACTCTAAGTTGGGGAGATAACATTTGCAAGGTGGATGGAAGGGCCTGGTGGTCTTAAGGGTGCGGTCTGAACAAAGCATGAAAAGGTCCGGGGTCTCTGTTGACACTGGCAGATTATATGGCTGTGATTCGGGTCTAGAGGGCATAATTGCAGGGAAGATATTAAGGCCCTTTCATCCTCCTTCCTGGACTCTGATCCTGACCTCCATGGTAGGAAGGCAGGGGGTAAGGGGAAGGGCAGCATTGGTTTGGGGAATCAGCATGATATTAACTTTTACCAACAGTGTGAAGAGTAGGCAAGTGAATTCACTTTTCTTAAGCCACAATTTCCTCATTTGTAAACTAAGATTAATAATAATGACACTACCTGCCTCACAGTATAATATCATAAGGAAAGGAAGCAAACATTTACATAGTGCCTACTATGTGCCAGGCACTGTACTAAGCTCTTTTTACAAATATTATCTCATTTGAAAGCACATCGTCAACCTTAAAATACCAGCAAAATTATCTAAATATTTACATAGCATATACATAAGTATATGTATATAGCTACCTATAAATAAAATGTTATGATAGAGAAATTTTTATTATTAGCTCAATGCCTGAGGACACAGTGGCCACGTAATACTTACTTAGACTGAATCTAACCTTATTCCTTTGAATATAAAGTTATATTCACCATAACATAGCTTTCTCATCTGCAAAATAAGGGAAATGATACCTACTTCACAGGAGAGTTGTGAGGAATAGCTACAAATAGCCATGCTGTTGGATTTACAATGCACCTTTTTCCTCTGAAGGTTGTATTTATCTTCTCAGCCTTCTTGTGAAATAGGAAGAGGCGGGTACTTAGTTCGCTTAACACAGGCTAAGTGACTTCTCCAATATGATGCTGTTAGAAAGCCCTACATCTTCCATCTCCCATTTCAGGAGTCTCTTTACCCACCGGCCAGGAGTGACTACTTATAAAAGCATCTGTGGCTGCGCAAAGTAGTCCTCGTCAGCAGTTACTTCCAAAGAACTGATGTGTCGCAAGCACTCGTCCCACCCCTGGCAATGGTGGTGGACGACAGTTGCTAAATGAGGTGCCCAATGTGCTAAATTAATTTTGTTTCACTATACTTACAAGGGACAATTCTTTTGCGGGGGCAGGGAGGTCACTGAGAAATGCGAGTGATGTAAATAAAGGGGGGAGTAAGAAAAGTATGGGGCAGCTGGGTGGCATGGTGGAGAGAGAGTCAGGCCTAGAATCAGGAATCCAGGAATGCATCCTGAATTCAAATCCAGACTCAGATACTTATTGGCTGTGACAGTGGGCAAGTCACTTAACCTCTGTTTTCTCATTCGTAAAATGGGGATAATAATTGAACCTACCTTCCAGGGTTGTTGTGAAGTTCAAATGAGATAATAATTGTAAAAATAAAAATAGCAAGCATTATATAAATAACTATTATTATTATTACAATGGAAAGAGAGCTAGATTTGGCATCAGAAGAAACGGGTTCAAATTCTATTTGTCACATAGTACCTGTTATCAAGCCACAATCAGGCGGAACCTCAGCTCCTCATCTGTAAAACGAGGGACTAGGATTAAATTTCCTCCAAGGTCCCTTCTAGCTCTAAGCCTCTGATTTGTACACTGAGATCCTGTGAAAAGAACATCAATAAAACACATTTTTGAAAGAAAAAAATGACGCGCTTCATAAATAGTTAATGTAGCATTCACATTCGGAACACCATCTCTCCTGCAGAGCGTATCCAAGGACCAGGTTCTGTATTCCTTAATGTGATGCTGGGGCCCTGACCTCGAGATCCCCACCCAAATCCCCGATGAGCCTTCTAGTAATCCAGCCTGACATCGCTGTGCTTTCAGGAGTGGCCAGGCTCTCTCTCACCGCAATGTTCAAGGTTATTTTGACCAAATCGATTTCCTTTAATTCAACAAGTATTTATTGGGAGCCCACTATTTTCCAGGAACTTGGCTAGCTGATGTGGAGGCTGGTTTCTAGGTATTTACAATCCAATAAGGACCTATGTGTACATGAATACCATGACTGATGACAGTAAGTGCAATGGGAGCTCAGAACCCAAAAAGGTCTCTTCTAGCTATATTTATCAGGGAAGGCATCATAAAACCAGGCCTTTAATGACAGCTAGTGACACAAGGACAGTTGTGGTGCAGTGGATAGAGTGCTGGGCCTGGAGTCTCAGGAAGGCCTGGGTTCAAATTTAGCCTCAGACATTTAATAGTTATATGACCCTGGACAAGTCACTTAACCTGTTTGCCTCAGTTTTCTCATCTGCAAATGAGCTGGAGAAGGAATGGCAAACCATTCCAGTATCTTTGCCAAGAAAACTTCTCAGACACAATTGAAAATGACTAAACAATGAACAACAAAAAAATGACCTGGGGAGAGGGAGGTAGAGAATAAATGATTTTCAGGCAAAACAGCTCCCATTCATGTGCCCTTTATAATCCCGCCACACTGAATTGTATACTCTCTCATGTCTGTGTTCCTGTATTGATTTCTCTCTGCCTGGAATGCTCGCTCTCCCTCCTCACCTCTGCCTCTCAGCATCTCCGCCTTCCTTCAAAACTCAGCTCAGGCATTACTTTCTTTTTTTGTTTTTAACAAGTGTTTTTAAAACTTTGGGTTACAAATTTTCTCCCTTCCTCCCTCCCCACCCACACTCATTGAAAAGGCAAGCATCTCGATACAGGTCATAGATGTGCAGGCATGCAAAACACTTCCATAGTAGTCCTGCTGTGAAAAACTAAGTATATTTCCGTTCATCCTATCCTACCCCCCATTTATTCTATTCTCTATTTTGACCCTGTCCCTCCTCAAAAGTGCTTGCTTCTGATTATCCCCTCCTCCAATGTGCCCTCCCCTCTATCTACCCCCTGCTCTCTTGTCCCCTTCTCCACTTATTTTCCTGTAGGGTAAGATAGATTTCCACACCCCATTGTGTATGTTATTCCCTCCATAAGCCAAATCCTATGAGAATAAGATTCACTCATTCCCTCTCACCTTCCCCCATTTCCCCTCCACTGTAACAGCCTTTTCTTGTCTGTTTCATGTGAAATATTTTACCTCATTCTACTTCTCCCTTTCTCCTTCTCCCAGTATAATCCTCTCTCACTCCTTAATTTTATTTTCCAGATATCACTCCTTCATCTTCAACTCACCCTGTGCCCTCTATCTATACATACATATATACATACATACATACAATTTTTCCCTCCCACTACCCTAATACTGACAAAGGACTCGTGAGTTACAAATATCAATCTTTCCCTGCAGAAATGTAAACAGTTCAACCTTAATAAGTCTCTCATGATTTCTCTTTCCTGTTTACCTCTTCCATGTTTCACTTGAGTCTTGTATTTGAAAGTCAAATTTTCTATTCAGCTCTGGTCTTTTCCTCAGGAATTCTTGAAAGTCCCTTATTTCATTTTTACCCTGAAGGATTATGCTCAGTTTTGCTGGGAACAGACATTACTTTCTGCACGAGGTATTGTCTGGTCTGCTCAGCTGACAAGATTTCTTCCCTTCTAAGGTCACATACCTCTTTATTTACATACTTTCTCTCTCTCCCATTAGAACATAGCTAGCTCCTTGAGGGAAAGTACTGTTTTTGTCCATGTTTTTTATTCCGTGAATTTAGTGTGATACCTGACAGACAGAAAGTACTTAATAAATGCTTGTTGACTATCTGTTCATCCAATTTGATAGGTCTGTGAAGTTCTTACAGAGAGAAAGGGCTAATAGACTAGAATATGGAGGGCCTGGAAGGCCAGGCAAAAGAATGTGATCAAAGGGTAGCCTGAAAAATTTTTTGCATTGTGAAGAGGCATAAGAATAAGTTTCCTAACAGTGAAGATGACTTTTAAAAAGTAATGACAATACCACTACTAGGTCTGTATCCCAAAGAGATAAAAAACAAAAAGGAAAAGAATCTATAGGCACAAAAATATTTATAGCATCTCTTTTAGTGATGGCAAAGAACTGCAAATTGAGGCGATGTGTAACAATTGGGGAATGGCTGAACAAGCTGTGGTATATGATTGTGATGGAATATTTTTGTGTTATAAGAAATGATGAGCAAGATGCTCTCAGAAAAAAACCTGGAAAGACTTTCATGAATTGATTCACAGTGATATGAGCAGAACCAGGAAAACTTTGTACACAATAACAACAATATTGTATGATGATCTCCTGTGAATAACTTAGCTATTCTCAGCAATACAATAATACAAGACAATTCTGTAGGACTTAGGATGAAAGGTGCTGCTCATCTCCAGAGCTAGTGGAGTCTGAATGCAGATCAGATACTTTTTCTTCACTTTATTTTTCTTGGGGTTTTTTTGTTTGTGTTTTCTTTCATAGCCTGACTTACATGGAAATGTGTTTTGCATGACTACACATATGTAACCTATGTCAAATTGCTTGCCTTCTCAATGAGGGGGAAAGAAGGGAGGGAAAAAAATTGAAACTCAAAATTTGAAAAAAGTATGTTAAAACTGTTTTTGCATATAATTGGGGAAAAAATAAAATATCATATTTTTTTCAAAAGTAATGACACTTGTTGTATATGAATAAACTTTTATTGAATTTTAGACAATTAGAAAGAATAAAGAAATACAAGAGAAGATTCTCTCTATAGAATGACCGATACAGCTTCCTGAACAACAGCTGACAGTGTCTCCTTTACAATATCAGAATTTTCCATTTACTTTATAAAAGTATAGACATTCACTTCATTTATTTAGATTTTTACAAAGCCAAGAGCAGTCAAATGGAATAATAAGTAGTACACAAAAGCAAATCCAAATCCATACTGATATTGGAGGATGAGGTTTGGAGTCTGACTTTCTTAAAAAATTATCCTGGTGGAGGGAAGAATTTTTTTCTTCTTTTTGTGCAAGAAAGGCACAAGATCATGTCAAATCACGACCCAGGAGGCCATCTCCAAAAATGACTATGCTGATCAAAAAGGATGTGTGTGGTAGGGAGGGTGGAAAAGGGTAGTGGAAAGGAAGGGTCAGATATATCCTGGAAGAACTTGCTTTAAAATGAACTATGGGTCCAGTATTCTGGATAAGCTACATAGTAAGTAATCATATCCCAGAAGTAGCTGCTTGTGCTTTTAGCAATCTGGTTTGAATAAGGCTCTACAGTTACCAAACACATTACCTGTGGGCAGGTCTACACAGCACAAAACGGTGTGGAAAGTTGGCAAATTTCCCAGTGAATCTGGGCTGTGTAGAGGCCCAAGCTGGTTCATTCTGGAGAAAAGGAATACTTTTACAGTGGCATGAGATGCCTTCGGGTAAACCCCTGTGCAAAATGGCAACCCTGAGCTGTCACAGAGATTGGGCAGGCCTTACTTACTGTGAGCAGGAGCACATCACAACCTCGGAAAACATCACCACTATCCCATCTTCCCATTTGTCTCTGCCTTTTCTCTTTGCCAAAAAAAAATTTTTTCTTTAAAAAACAAATTCACTTCACCCTCCCCTTCCAACTGTCTAGCAACATCTATCTGTCAAATGAGAATTAAGTTATCTGCCTCAATGCAAGAGGTATTGTGTGCTGCTCTCCTAGTGTAATAACAAGGGAGACCCACAGACAGCCCTATACAGAGAAAGTTCCCTATAATGCTAAAGCCCCGGAAGGCTGCCTTCCCTGAACTGCATGAACCACAAAATAAAATATAAAACAGCCCTTGGGTGATAAAAAAATGTCACCTAACTCAGTAAGCATAAACATTGATTCTCCTACCTCTGCTTCTTCTTGCTTAGCCTCACACCCTCCCATCCAAAAACAGTCCTCTTTCCAAAATATTTTCGTCCCCAGGGAATAATGAATAAACAAACAGCTATGGCAGCCATGGGCATAAAACCAATCCTAGAAAGAAAAAGCAGTCATCTATCTATAACTACTAGAGAAATGGTCTAAATATGAGATGGTTCAAGAGAAAAGATAAATAAATAAACAGGAAGGGAAATCTCGGTGGAGCTACCTTCTTTTTTCTCTGCTTCTCACTAAGTGTTGTTCTCTCTGTGTGCTTTTGTCACTGAGACTTTGAGGAGGGAGGCGGTGTCAATATGAACCATTTCTGCCCCACCCCCTTCCCATAGGGATGGTTAGAACATCACTTCTCTAAAGGAATCTTTCTTCCAAAGTGGTTTTCATTATCCAAACACCACCTGGCACTTTATTCTTTTTTTAAAAAGAAAGGTAAAAAAAAGGTAAGTTAGGTATAGATTAGAGAATAAGCCCATCTGGACTGGAATTTGGATTTTACCTGCCCTCTTTACTTCTTCCCTGGGCTTGGCACATCTATGAGATTCAATTTTGTAATAAGAACCCGATGGATTCCACAGGGTAGAATGGAATCATCATGCTGGAGGGTCTCCATCCCATTTCTTCCTTTTGTCTTTTTTTTCAAATCTCAAGATGGAGTAATATCCAGCTCTTTCCCATGCATTTTTTTTAAACTCATGTGAGGATGAGGAAAACAATCTCCTTTCCAGCATTCTACCCCTTCTATAGTGAAATCTTCTTTTCCTGAACTACCTCAGCTCTATACTAGTGATCCTGCTCTACTTTGGGCTGGCACCATGACGGGCACCGCACCAATTCGCTCTAGCGTGGTTTGACTCACGGCATAGGAGCGTGTGTGCTGTGACCGAGGCTTCCGGTTGATGGAGCCGTTGCTCCGAGATGTGACCTGTGGTGATGGCGCTTTGTTGGCAGTCACGACCAGAGTTTTCACTGAAGGTGGGACCAGATGGCTTCCATTGGCATAAATAGATGGTATATTGGCACTGCCTGAGTGGAGAGAGAAGGACTGATGCAAGTCTCCCAGGTGGCCATAAGACTCCATGGTATGATGAACTTTGGGGTTGTTGTTCCAATAGCGACTATTGTAAGTATTAGAAGAGGTCAGTGTGTTGTTCTCTGAAGATGAGACCTCGGCATGGAAAGCTTTGGCAGATGAAGTACATTTTGGTGGAAGGTCATCTTCCCTGGAAAGAAACAATGATATGATTTATAATTTAATCAAGATTCATTTTCTGTCATTCCCCACGGGTTCAGCTTACTCATACCAAGGCTAAAATCATCTGTGTAACACAAACCCTCTTGTTCTAGCCTCCATGGTTTAAGAAGGACATTGATAACACTAGGGAGTGTCCAGAGGAGAATAACTAGTATGGTAAAAAGCCTTGAGTCTATGTCATATGAGGACTAGTTGAAGAAAGTGAGTGTGATTAGCCTAGAGAAATAAAAACTCAGAGAGGACACACATAGTAAGCGATTAATAAATGCTTTTTCATGCATACATTCATGATAACCATCTTCAAGTATCTGCAGTATTAAATGATAACTATTACTTGAAGGATTGTCATGTGGAAAAGGGATTAGATTTATTTCTCTCAGCCCCAGAGGGAAGAATAAAGAGCAATGAGTAAAATTTACAAAGTGATAAATTTAGGCTTGATGTCAGGAAAAGCCTCCTAACTGTTAGATCTTTCTCAAAATGGAATGGTCTGACTGAGAGAGGTGGTGTATTCCCCCTCCTTGGAGGTTTTCAACCACTCATCATTTATGCTACATTGAGGATTCCTTTCACACTGGGCTGGGGCTAGGTGGCTGCCACAGTCCCTTCCAACTCTCAAATTCTGTGATTCTGGTTCAGTCTTCCATGACATTTTAGACTCAAAACAGAATGCCAGCCAGGGAGTCAGAAGATCTGGGTCCTAAAGAGAGATCAAAGAAAGAAGAAAAGGACCCATATGTACAAAAATAGAGCAGCTCTTTTTGTGGGGACAAAGAATTGGAAACTGGGAGGATGCCCATCAAGTGGTGAATGGCTGAACAAGCTACAGTATATGAATGTAATAGAATACTATTGTGCTATAAGAAATGATGAAGGAGATGGTTTCAGAAAGATCTAGGGTGATCTGTATGAACTGATGCAAAGTGAAGTGAGCAGAACCAGGAGAACAATTTATCAATACCTACAGTATTATAAAGACAATCACCTTGAAAGACTTAGGAACTCTAATCAACACAATTGCCAGCCACAATTCCAGAGAATTCATGATGAAATCAGTTACTCCTGTCCTGATAGAGGTGATGGACCTCAGATTGCAAACTGACCAATGCAATTTTTTGCAATGGAATAGTCTGCCTATGAAGTGGTAGATTCTCCCTCCTTGGTGGGTTTTTTTAACCATTCATTATTTATGTTACGGTGAGGATTTCTTTCATACAGGAGTTAAACTCAGGTGGCTGCCACGGGTCAAAAAATAAATGACCAATGCAAAAAAAAAATGGTTTTGCTTGACTATACATGACTGTAACAGGTTTTGTTCTTCTTGCTTTCTCAACTGAAGTAAAGTGGGAGGAAAAAAGCAGGTAGGGAGGAGACAAAGCTAATCTTCATTTGAAAAAAAATAAATTAAAAAAAAAGAATACCTGGGTTCCAGTCTCAGTTGTAATACTTACTTACACCCTCTGCCTTCCAGCTCAAGTGGCCTATGCTCCATTTCCTACCTCAGTGCTTCTTCACGGACTATTGTCCCTGTGCCTGGAATGCACTTCTCACCAGTGCCTTTCACAATACTTGGTTTTCTTCAAGATTTATTAACTTACATGACGCCTCCTACAGGAAGCTTTTCCTGCTACCCCCCAGTTACTGTCTCCCTCCTCACTTAGTCACGTTTTATTCTGTTTACATGCTCTAACTCCCAGTAGAATATAAATTCCTTAAGTGTAGAGGTTGTTTTTGTTTTGTTTTCTTTTGTCTTTGTCTTCTTAGACACTTGCACAGTGCCCTGAACATAGTAGGTGCTTAATAAATACTTGTTAGATTGGGTCGGATTGGACTGATTGGGCCTTAAAGAAATAACTTAAACAATACTTTAACTTGATAATCATAAACTTAGAGCTGGAAGAGATCCTAGAGGTCTGTAAAAGTCAAGAGTGATCTTTATTAAGCAGGTACAAACATGATCATATGGAGAAGTCAGCCGAAGCTGAAACAGCTCAATTTGGGGAAAGCAAGGAGGGCATTTATATCATTTTCAGACAAAGGAAGGTAGAAGATGGGCTGATCCAGGCAGGGAAGTGAGAGTCTTATAGATATAAATTGAGGCACCAGCGAGTGGAGAGTTCCAGGAACAGAGGCACTGAGTTCTTGGTACATTGAGATAAGCATGATGATGCAGAGTCCAAGGATCAAGTACAGAGAATAGGATAAGCAGGATGTGTAGAAAGTCATTTCACAAGGAAGAAAACCTGAGGTTCATAGCAGTGAAATGACTTGCCTATGGTCACAAAAGTAATAAGATGATAAGTCACTCAAGTCCAAAACCCAGCACTCCAAATCCACCATCACTAATATCAACACAACCCTAGGCAAATTCCTTCATGTCTCTAAGTCCTAGTTTCCTCACCTGGGGATGGACTACATGATCTGAAAAGTCCTTTCTCAGTTTAAATCCTATGCTCCTCTTCTCCCCTGTAAAGGTGGGATATGAACTTCTAGAGTTGCCCAGAATCTCTCCCAATACCTCCATTATTTCAATTTACCTTGTACGAGAATAGAAAAAAGGAATCTGTTGGACATCTCCATTCCAGGAGCACCAGTCAAGAAATGATTAACTTAATCTCTGGCTATGGCCAATGGAACAACCCAAGTAGACTTACAAGTGGTTAATTAGATCAGGTATGGTATAAGAAAGTGATGCTTTCCCTCAGGACTTATCAAGGGAAAGAACTCTAGATTAGAAGTCACAGGTCTCAGGCTTCAAATCTGACCATTCTTCTTACTAGCTGTGTGACCGTGGGCAAGTTATTAACGTCTCTGAGCCTGAGTTTTCTCATTTTCAAAAGAAGGGGCTGTGCTAGATAATGTCTAAGATCCTTTCCACATTTAAATCTATGATCCTCTGTGTCATACAAGGAAGTAACCAGAATTGAAACAATAAGAATAGCTAACAGTCATACAGCACCTTAAGTTCTGCAAAGCATTTTACACATATTACCTCTTTTGATTAAGAACCTAACTGGTCTTATTAAGCTATTCTTATTCTTCATTGTAGACCATCTTGCCAACTAAATAGGACCATGGTTCTCCCAGAACAATGACCTAAGTGTAGGATCCACCCCAGGTGTACTGAAGAGGTAATCAAATCATTTCAATTTGCCAATAATAATAATTATAATAATACCTTTCATCTGTATAGCACTTCACAGACGCAAATTACTTCCATACCCATACTCTAATTTGCTATTTATTATTTAGCTAAATTTAATAAACGTTCATTAAGTGGCCTCTCTGTGCAAAGCACCATGCAAGGTACTGGGTATACAGAGATAAAAATGAGCCACAGACCCTGCTCTCAAGGAGCATGCATTCTGCTGGGACACAAAATGTGCCAAAATACAAATATATCCAAGATAACTGGAGGCAGGAAAGAGCATTAACAGTCAGGGAGGTTCCATAAGAGAATGAATATGACAGCACTTTTGAACGTAAAAAGTCCTTTTGAAAGGTAGTTGTTATGATGATGATAATAATTATAGTGGTAATAATAATAATAATAACTCTTCTCCCAGAACCATAATAATCTGTGGAGTATGCACAGCAGGTATCGTTCTCCTCATTTTACAAATGAGGAAAGTGGGGTTTTAAACTTCAAAGTCACTGGTCCTAAGCTACATGGCTAATAAGTAATGGAATCAGGACTTCACCCAGGTTTTTCAGTTCAAAGTCCCATGTGCGCTCCATTCTAACTCATTAAAAACTTCATATGCTTCCCTCAGCTTGCTCACATTCTTGTCCTGTCTTTCACTCCGAACTTAGGCTGATGGATTTGGCATAGCTTTGCAGGATCTAACAGAGTCCCTGAGTATTCTGTTTAGAGCTTTTCTGGCTCCTATAATCACTATGGCCTGAGTGGAGCTCAGATGTTGGTGAGGGGCCACTTTATCGACATCAGAATAATAGCAAACATTTATATAACAGAGCTTAAACATTTACAAAGTATAGTACCTATCTCTGTATTATCTCATTTGCTACTCTACAACCCTATGGTCTAGGAACTATTATTATCCCCACTTTAAAGATAAGGAAACAGGATGAGAGAGAGTAAGTACCTTGCTTAGGACTATACAACTAGCAAGTGTCTGTGGCAGGATTCAAACTTGGGTCTTCCTGGCAGCTAGGTGGCACAACAGATAGAGAACTGGACCTTGGAGTCAGGAAGATTCAAGTTCAAATCCTGTCTCAGACACTTAACTGTGTGACCTAAGTCAAGTCATTAGACCTCTCTCAGCCTCAGTTTCCTCATTTGTAAAATAGGGATAATAATAGCACACACCTCACAAGGTTGTAGTGTGGATCAAATGAGATAACACCTACTCTTTACTCAGGCCCACAGATGTTAATAACTTACCCAAGGTCACACAAGTAGTAAGAAGAATGATCAGAATTGAAGCTCAAGTCCAGTGACTTCTAATCTAGAGTTCTTTCCCTTGAACAATATGACAAATAGTCATCCAGTCTCTGATTAAAGACCTCTTGTAAGTAAGACCCATCATTTACTGGGCCAGGCCATTTCACTCTTTTCCAATTCTAGGATTCTAAGTTCATAGACTTGTTTTGATTAAAACTGGAATAATTTAGCATAGTGAATCAGCTAAGTTTGGGGCACTGAGTCTTTAAAGCTGGGCATGTGTGCTGTAAGAAATGATGAACTGGCTGATTTAGGAAAACATGGAAAGACTTGAATGAAATAATGAAAAGTGAAATGAGTAGAGCCAAGAGAACATTGGATACAGTAACAGTATTATAAATACTCAGAATAACTAGAAAAGACCTTTTAAGGAACATGCTATCCCCCTCCAAAGAAAGAACTGATAATTAGAAGTATGCATTGTATGGTTTACATATATTTATAAATCTGTATCAAATGGTGGATTTCTCTAGTGTGAGGTGGGGAAGGAGAGAAATAGATTGGAACTTAATATGTGACAAAAATGAATAAAATAAAATAAAGTTGTGCATGTGTTAGAGTGAAATCCATCAACAAATTATCAAAATGAACCTTTGTTGATACTTCTGTTCTCAGCATAATGGTACAGTTACTTAACAAATGGTTGCTGTCCTCATTAAAGCCCCTTTATATCAAAAGAGTACAAGACAACTAGTCTTAGTAACAAAAGAGTAAACACAAACAATTTCACCTTTTGCCAGACTCCATCTGTGAAGGGGCTAAATCAGAGGTACAATCATCAGTTAAATGCAAAACTGAAAAGAGAGAGGTCAACATAGGCCCCATTTGCTAAATGAATGACCGCTGATGGCCTTCAGCTTTAATATCTTCATAGCAAAGTGAAGTGCATAGTTAAATCTGAGTTATCTCAGTGACTCAAATATTCAAAACACTATTACTGAAGAAAAAATATGTGGCCTACACTGTCAAGACTTGTTAACCATAGCTTGACTTCAATTTACCTGTAAAATAAATGTGTTCCTGGAAAACTGTCTGCAAGTGAAGATCTGTTATTATAAAATAAGATTTTCCCCATTAACTTTCAACATAATGAGTTTCTAAAGGATGGGGGGAATGGGAAAAGGAGAGGAATGACTCCACAGTATAATAAGAATCACACTTAACCTAACGTTCACTCTGAAAAGGATACTGTCATTATTGTATTATGGTCTATATTACATTGCATTTAATTGTTCAACACAACCTCAGTAAGAAATTTTATTCAAATGGACAATTAATCCATTTGACCTTAACACATTCATTAAACACGCAAGGTTTAAAATATGCCATTTGCTTCATTTCCATTTCCCTATGAGTTCTCAAGGATAATAAGACTTTTTTTTCTTTCCTTCGCCATACTATATCTGACTTAAAATCTGTGGAGTTCAGTATTCTGTCTCTAATAGTATCATCGAAGAATAATTTGTTGGACAGATAACATAAACCTCAAAAATTGAAGAATATATCCCCAAATCATATCTTGTTTCCCTTAACTTATGACTCTACTATCCACAAATCTGCACAGATCTTCCCTGAGCCCAATTATGTTTTCAATCTAAACTACCTGATGGGTAAAATGAATATTAATATGATCCCACCTGGGAAGACCATCACATGAAAGGTCTAGATGTCATTCTTCATCTCATACATAAATTTATTTCATCACATATGAAACTTTCTCTGAATAGTGATTACTGTTCTCTCTAATGCATCCTCTGTGAAATGCACCATACTCACGGCAAGCCATACCACAATGCCCCTAATAGCATTATGACCAAGAGCCTGGCTAAGAGCTACCACGTATAAATTCTTTTTCTTCCTACACAAGCATCTCTGAAGGTAGTGACACAACAATAATCTTAACAACTCACAGCTATATTTGGCATCTTAAGATCTACAAAGTTCATTACCAACTGACAATGCATAACATCTTCTGGGACCCTCCTGCTGCTTAACTGTCCTCTTAGCTACTTCCACTGACTCCCCAGCTCATTTTCCACAGCAGCTGTTCTAAACCTTTTCTTCTTTTCTCAAGCCCCCACCTTTCCAGATGGGAGAAAGAACTCCACTTTCCTTACCACCCATCCCTGACACTTACAGCAAATGATTTAGCCTATTTCACTGAGAAGACAGAGGCCATTCAAAGGGATGTCCCACTTTCCCCTCCTCTACAAGTCTCAGTATCAGTACCAAGTCTCTACTCTTTCCCTGTGGACACAGAAGGATTCCTAAAACTAATCTCTTTACCTCAGGTCTTAGTCTTTTTTATGTTATGGACCCCCCCCCTTCAGCTGGTGAAGTCTATGACTCCCTTCTAAAAATAATATTCTTAAATGTACAAACTAAAACACATAGGATTACAAAGGAAATCAATTATGCTAAAATAGAGTTATCAAAATGTTAAAAAAAAATTACAAGTTCAAGGGCCCTACATTAAGAACCTGTGCTTCACCCATACCCATGACCTCTTCCCTTCTATCTCCTTCACAAGCTCACTCCAGCAATTATCTTTTCTCTCTCATTTATCTTCAATTTCTCTCTCTGCATTGGCTCCTTCCCATCTCTCCTGAATCCTTAAAAAGCCCTCCCTTGACCTTTCTATCAACCTAGTTATAGCCCTACATCTCTCCTTCTCTTTAAATACCATTTTTTTAAAAGTTGTACACATATGATGTAAACATCCACTTTCTCAATACATACTTTCTTGATACATACAGCCCCTTAACAACCTGGTTCCTCCTTCTCCCTGCCTTCATCATACGTTGAAAATATTCTCTCAATGGGGAGAATCTTTGAGTTCTCCTACTCACCTACTCACCAACCCAATTCTTTGTTGTTGTTGTTGTTTATTCTCTCTCAGTCCTCAGGCCTCCTCTTCCCTAACCTCTCTGTAGCACTTCTCATTAACAACCCCGCCCTCCTCCTGAATACTTTTTGCCCCCTGACTTTAGGACAGCACTCTCTTCTGGCTCTCCATCTAGTTAACAGCTTTTTTATCTACTTTGCTAGCACTCCCTCCTCTTCTTGACCCCTTGAGGTGAGTGATCCTTGAAGACCTGTTTTTGGCTTCATTCTCTTCTACCTGCTCCTTTGGTAACCTCATTTGCCTCCAAATTAGGGTAGGTTTAAGTATTATTTCAACAGAGATAACTCCTGAATCTCTATCTTCGAGCCCCATTTTTCTTTCATGAGCCTGTATGTTCAATGGCCAAAGTATCTTCACTTGTATGTCCTACTAGCACAAGAAACATGACATGTTCAAAACTGGGCTTGTTATCCTTCCCTTACAATCCACTTTTATTTGACTCTTTTCTGCTTTCTGTTTCTGTGGCATTTTTACTATTTCCTCTACTTTACTTCTCATATGCAATTTTATATCAAGGAGGAAAGTATGACCCTAGACAGGGTTGAAAGAGAAAAGGGAGGAAACAAAAGTCATGACCAATCAATCAACAAGTACTTCTTCAGAGCCTACCATGTGCCAAGCACTGGGGATACAAACACAAAGAATGAAACAATCTCTACTCTTGAGGAGCTTACATTCTAAAGATAAGGGCAAAAGGTGGAGAGGTTGTCATTCACAGGGCCCAAGCACAAGGTGGGGAAAGGGTACCCTCACTGAGATATATGCATGCTGCAAAACAAAGAGACTAAAATGAAATTCTAGATCACTTGTTTTCTGTAGGATTGACTATGCTTTTTGTTGGGCTGAGGAGCAAAATCTGAAATTTGTAAACTGAAGGAGATAGTAGGATATCTTATATGACATACTCTTTCCATTGTCAGTCCCTTGTGATCAAGACGACAAAGCCCCACATAATCAGAGATACAGACAGCAAGACAAAAGGAAGCCATAGTGTTGCTTGTGCTGAAGCATTTTTATATCCTAAAGTATATAAAGAATTAGGCCTGGTGGTTGACACAATGAAGGGATGAGAAGATGCACCTCTCTCTTTACACTGAAGAAGCAGGGGATCATGGGAGTGGGATGTAACATATGCCATCAAACAAAGTTGGAAGTTTTGGTTCTTTTGAATTAAAGGAAAAAAAAACTATCTTTGGGGAAAGGGAAAACTCGCTTGGAAGGCCAATGAAAAAGCATTTATTTATATTTATAAAGGAATTTGACATAAAGGAATTTATTTATTTATAAAGGAATCTGACATAAGAACAAAAGGTAAAGTAAGATAATGTGGCATGGTGAATAGTGCACTGGCCTCAGATTCAGGAAGACATAGTTTCAAGTACTACTTTGAACACATATTGGCTGTGCCTTGGGATAAATAATTTCACTTGTCAGTGCTCTAAGCAATCTTCTAAGATTCCAAGTTGCAAAGAAAGTGCCAACCTGCACTAGCATAGAGGGAGCTAGTTATCACAGGTCTGGTCCTTATCCCTATCAATTTAAAAAGTTTTTAAAAACAGATGAAGAGAGCAGTTCTAATATTACACTATTTGATTCATACTTTCATCAGGCTTGTGTCCCACATCAGTGATAGATTCTATGCATCAAAAATTGTTCCTTCTGATATTTTGATTGAGGAAGAAAAAGGACACCAGAAAAGTTCACTTAAGCAGGATCTGTAGCCATAGTGGAAAATTGAGAAAAAAAAACAAATTACAAAACAAAATTACAACAACAACAACAACAAAATTCCAATTAACTGGAATTTGATGATGTTATTGCCATTTGAAAATCCAATCCCAAAGCTACAAAACAGTCAGCAACAAAGGATGCAGTCTCAGAATCAAAATGGTATTTTTTCATCATGTCACAAGATTATGTAGGTAAGATGGGATGGTGTATACATGAGCACCTTGCACCTCTATACATATACATACACGTATACATGAGCACATGAGCACCTCTATACAAGTTTGTCCTAAAGAAATGATCCTTAGGATATTGACAGTGGCCTCAAAATATATACTAGGACCTGAAAAATGGTACATTGGTATTGGTCACTGTTGTAATCTTAAAAACCATGGTTGAAAAACCAGTGAGAAAATTTTCATTACTAAGGTTAACAGAAATATGACAACCTAAAGCTATGTCACCAAGTCCCAAACTCAGACAAACCTTATCTCATTAGGGATCTCTTCCTCCTCTTCCTCTTTATTTCTGTTTCTCCAGTAAAAGAATGCCACAAGCATCAAGGTAAGACATAGGATGACGACAACCGCGGCGCTGCTAACCACCCCTGCAATGACACCAAGGCTCCGGGGCTGGGCTGTGACATGCATTGAGAAAAGAAAGAACAACAGCATTGGCACAGCATTGGCTCAGCATTACTTGAACACAAGAGATGCTACCAAGAAAGCATCTAAAGCTTAATATGTACAATTGCCCAGTCTGTTTCACTCATATACAATAAAACTTCAATTAACTGGAATCCCCATTAACAAACTGTCTAGGATTTTCATTCCACCTTTATAAAAGACACAAATGATAACATAGATTATGTCACACTTTACCCCTCAAAAAAAAATTCTAGGATTCATCATATAAGCACCTAAGTGGTGCAGTGAATAGAGTGCTGGGCCTGGAGTCTGAAAGACTCATCTTCATGAGTTCAAATCTGGCCTCAGACACTTACAAGCTGCATGACCCTGGGCAAGTCATTTAACCCTGTTTGCCTCAGTTTCTTCATCTGTAAAATAAGCAGGAGAAGGAAAAGGCAAACCACTCCAGCATCTCTGCCAAAAAAAAAAAAAAAACCCAAATGGAGTCACAAAGAGTTGGACACAACTGAAAACCACTGAACAACAACAGCTAGGATTCATCATAGGGTCAGCAAAAATTCAACCCAGTTTCCTACATTTTCTGCATATATAGAGGCTGAAGAAAATTTAATCATCATAATGTGGTTGCTGAGCCACGGTGGCATAGCAGAAAGAGCTGGTCTCAGAGTCAAGAGAACCTGGGATCAAGTCCTTCATCTGACACAGCCTGTCTGTGTGACCTTGGGCAAATCACAGTCTTTTCAGCCATGTCCAACTAACTCCTCATGACTCCATTTGGGGTTTTCTTGGCAGAGATACTGGAGTGATTTGCCATTTCCTTCTACATCTTATTTTACAGTTAAGAAAACTTAGGCAAATAGGATTGAGGAGATTGAGGAGTCGGAGGTCAGATTTGAACTTGGGAAAGAAGTGAATGGATGACTTTTATCTCATCAATACCTGTAAAGATGAGTTTTCCTAAGTACATGCCTGGCTCTCTATCCACTGTACCTACATAGGACTCTTCTGGGACCTATGGACCATACTGTCCATGGGTTTTTTTTGGCAAAGATACTGGAATGGTTTGCCTCTCCAATTTCTTTCTCCAGTAGATTAAGGCAAACAGAGGTTAAGTGACTTGCCCAGGGTCACACAGTTAGTATGTGTCTGAGGCCAGATATGATTTCAGGTGTTCCTAACTCCAAATCCAGAACTCTATCCACTGAGTCACCTAGCTGCCTAATGAAATCACACATCAGAAAAATTTTCAAGTACAATTGGCAGAAGGTATTGTAACAGAGAGAAGGGCTTTCTCTCTAATTCTTAAGTAATCATTAATTAATTAATTAATTCCATTAAATTATGAGCTCCTTGAGGGCAGAGACTCTCTTTTGCTTTTTTTTGTATCCCCCAAGGCTTAGCATACTGCCTAGTACATAGTAGGTAACTAATAAATATTTATTGACTGACTAATCAGAATACCCCACTCCTCAAGATACCTGGTTGAATCCATGCTTTCTTGATCTACAACCAGGAAACACTAACATTGGCCTTGGATAGACTCACGTGAAATGACCTGAAGATCCAAGAGACAAGTGCTGGTCCCGATGGCGTTAGAAGCCACACACTGGTATAAGCCAGAAGAGACAGAGCTGATATTACGTAGGGTAACTGTTCCCTGGATTTGGTCTGTATGGATAGTGACAAAAAAAGTATTTAGAGGTGGAAAAGAAAAGGAGAATTTTTTTTAAAGCAGCTTTGAAGAGAATTTCTAGTCAAGAGAAACCTAGCTGAATATGCAAATATTTATTAAGCACCTACTATGTGCAAAGGTACTGTGGTAAGAGCTGGGGATACAAAGATAAAAAAATGAAACAGGTCCTCCCCTCAAGAGTTTACATTCTACTAGAGAGAAACAATACGTACACAAGCTAGTAAATGGTAATGAACATACAGAGCTGATACAAAGTTATTTCAAAACTTCATATCAAAAAGGTTTCATATCAAAATACTTCATATCAAAAAGGAGGCAGCACACTAGCTCTGAAGGATTCTATGATGTGAAAAATGGAATAGATTTCAGGCATGAGAAAACATGTGGCATGTCACATACTTGTGCCTTATCTTCCACACTTATCCCTTTCAATCCACTTACATGGCTTCTGCCCTAGTTCAGGTCCTCATCATCTCTCCCCTGGACTATTGCAATAGTCCAACATGTTACTAGTTTCTTTGCTTCCAATCCATCCCCACTCCCACCAATCCCCTGCACATTTAAAGTAATATTCCTAAAGTGTAGGTCTGACCATGTCATTCCCCAGATAATAAATTCTAGCAGCTTCTGATCATCTTTTGACTTAATTGTAACTCCTTGGTTTGGCATTTTAAGGTCTTCACACCTGGCCCCAATCAACTTTTCCAGCCTCCTTTTACACACTCCATTATCTAGCCAAACTGTCCTCCTTGCTGTTCCTCATGGCATCCAACCTCCCTGCCTGTCTCTTTGCTTCTGTGGTGGTTGTCCCTTCAGCCTCTAGAATGCTCTCCTTGGTTTCCTTTAAGATTCACCTTCTGAAGTACCACTTTCTGTATCAAATTGTTCTCAGTTCTCCCCAGTTGCTAGTGCCTCCCCATCCAAAATTACATCACATCTGCTTTAGGATAAAATGTAAGTAAACTCTACTCCTCTGGGTGGTTTTTAAAGACCATCACAACTTGACTCCAACCTATCTTTCTACTTGACTATAAATTACTCTCTTTGCAATCTACACTCGTGCCAAACTGTACTTTCTGTTCCTGACCCACAGAACTCCATCCCTTATATCTCCATGCCTTTGCACTTGCTTTTTCCTTCTTTCTCCCAGAATCCCTCACTTCTTTCAATACTCAGCTCAAGTATCACCTTCTGCATAATGTCTTTCTCCTAATCCTCCAATGCTACTTATTTCATATTTACTTATATAAGTACATGCTGTCTCTCCTGATTGAATGAAAGCTCCTTAAAAGCAAGATTTCCTTTATTTTTGTCTTCACATGCCCCTGTGCCTAGCATAATGCCTGGCATATCGCAGGCTCTTAATAGATTCTTTTTGATGGATTTGACTGAAATGCTAATTATATGAGAAGTAATATGAAATAAGACTAGAAAGGTAGACAGGCAACAGGATGTGAATGGCATTAAATGCCAGGTTGAGAGAATGTTTTGAAGGAGCCTATGAGTTATAGTTTCCTTCTTTTTCAGTTGAATTTTTAGAAAATGAAAGTCATCATCAGGAAACACCCATGTTGAAGTTCTGAAAGGTATTATAGCACAAAACAAACAAAACAAACAAACAAATAAATAATCTTAAGATCTGTACCTAATAAGGACTCCCCTCTAAAACAGCCAGCCTCTGCCTGAAGACTTTCAGACAAAGGAAGCTCGTTCCACTCTTTAACTGATCCAGTTTTTACCTTACATCAAGTCAAAATCTGCCTACAATTTCCACTCATTGCTCCTACTTTTGCCCTCCAAGGGCAAGCAAAGTAAGTAAACCTCTGCTCCCCAAAAAGCCTAACCATGTCTCAACCCACTATTATATATATTAACTTGGTACTATCCTTTTCATTTCCATCCTACCCCCCTTCCCCAATTTTTACAAGTTAATACAGACACTTCTGTAATTGGTTTTCTTAAGCTATAATATAGAGCTTTACATTTATTCCTACGAAATCTTATATCTTTAGATTTGAGCCATCATTACAGTCGATTTAAATCTTTTATGGTCCCTATTCTGTGATCCAGCATATTAGACATCCCTCCCAGCTTCATGTCATTCACAAATTTGGTAAGCTGACCATCTGCCTTCATCCATAGATAAAAAATGCTGAACTGGGCAGAACCAAGGACAGCACCCTGGGACATTCCATTAGAATCCTCCCTCCAAAATGTCACTGGGTCCAGTCATTCAACTATATCTAAATTCGCCAATACATACTATATATAATCTAGCCCACATCTTTCTACCTTGTCTATAGGGACATTGTGAAATTTTCTGTCATATATAGAAAAGCAGCATGGTACAAGTGAAAGGGCAGAGGCTCTGGAGTCAGAGGGATGGGTTCAAATCCCACTTCTGACACTTATCACCTTTACGAACTTGAGTAAGTCACTTAAGCTAAATGGTCTCAGTTTCCTCATCTGTTAAAACAAATAAAAAGATGGAATTGGACTACATGGCTTCTGAGATCCCTTCCAGTTCTTTATCTATGGTCCTATGATCTGCTGAAACTCAGGTATACTACATCCATAATATCTACATAATTAATCAGTATCATAACACTATAAAGAAGGGGGAAGGGGAAAAGATGCTAAATCCAAAATTAATATATATGATGGAAAAAACTGGCATTTCATGAGTATGACACTGCCAATCTCTAAGAAAAATACTGCGGTAACAGCAAATTTCAATTTTTAGTTACGTTAAGTACGGAATAAGTAGAATTAATTATAATAATTTTCACCTGAGACATCATTGCAAATTGGTGTTCTAGAATTCAGGATGTTATTCTGTACCCCAATACTACTATTATAGTATCAATACTTCAATAATGTAACATTTCTGCAAATGGTCACTATTTGCATAGTTATTAAGTCTCCCCAGTAACCATAATGAAAACAGTTTCTTTATAGCAACAGTCAGTTATCCACAGGTCAGAGCTTCAGCTAATTCAATTGTCTGATGTCACCTCAAACCTGGAAGTTAACGAAAACCTCAAGAATCAGCACTGATGAAAACAGAGGACACAAAGCCCAAACAGCTATGCCTAAGAAAGAAGTGTAGTAATGTTCTTTTATTCCAACGGATCTGAAATCTTATCCATGTTGCTATTCCATATCTAGTTAAGTCAAGTGATCAATAAGCATTTATTAAGTGCTTAAGCCCTGGAGATATAAATACAAGCAAAAAGACAGTTCCTGCCCTCAACGAGCTTAATGGGGAAGACAACATATAAAAAGGAGCTGAAAAGTACATGCAATGTGTCAAAGTCCAAAGAGTCAGAAGCAAGGCCAGGAAAGGAATGAAGGACAATTGGCCATTAATCTTCCACAGGAGGTCCACACACTGTGGTGGTGGCCTTCCTTTAGGTGTCTTACCATCTTGTGGATATCAGTGCATGGAATCAAAGGACATTCATTAATTTTCATCACATAACCAGCCCATCTCCTTTTTCAATCATAAAACTTCTTGATAACATCCTTTATATTTATTCTCTTGCACAATTTGTGGCTGGCAATGTCTTACAAACTATTCATGTCCCTCTCCATTGCTCTTTGAGTGAGCAACAACTTTAATCCCTTGGAGACCATGGTATTCAATGATTTGAAACTACACAGCATCAGTAAGAGGATGGTCATCCAGTTTCTATCCAACATACATATATTCATGATTCATGAAACAACCTCCTCCCCTAGTCAAAGTAATTTTGCATACAAAACTAAGGATTGATTATCAGGCTTCCCCTGGCAGCCTTCAGTCATTTTTTATCTTTTTAAAAAATTTTATTTTATTTTTAATTTATGAAATAAAGCAAGTATTTTCATTACATAGTATAATAAAAAAGATGATTGCACATGAAACTGCAAATCTATTATGTACAATTTGTTATTCCTTTTAAATATATAATAAAGTTATCATGTAAATTTCTTTTTTTTCTTCCCTCCCCACTCTAGAGATGGCAACCATCAGACACAAATATGTATAAACATATAAAATCATTCTATACATACTTCTATTTATCAATTCTTTCTCTGGATACAGATAACATAGACGGTCAACAGACTTTACAACAGTCAAAATTACTTATTCGCTCAAAGTTATTCCTAAAACAATATTGCTATTATTGTTCTCTTCCTTCTGCTCTTTTCACTCTTCATTATTTCATGCAAGTCTATCCATGTTTTTGTAAGATCATCAAGCTCATCATTTATTATAGCACAGTGGTATTCCATCACAATTATATACCACAACTTGTTTAGCCATTCCCCAAATGATAGGCATCCCCACAATTTCCAACTCTTTGCATCACAAAGAGAGTTACTATAAATATTATGTAACATTTAGGTTCTTTTCCTTTTTCTCTAATAATCTTTGGAAAAAAACCTAGTAGTGGTATTGCTGGGTCAAAGGGTATAATCAGTTTAATATTACTCTTTGGGCAAAATTCCAAATTGCTTTCCAAAATAACAGGATCAGTTTACAATTCTATCAGCAATGAATCAGTGTCCCAATTTTTCTCTATCTCCTCCAACATTTGTTGCTTTTCCCTTCAATCATTTTAGCCAATTTGATAGGTGTAAAAATATCATCTCAAAGCTGTTTTAATTTGCATATCTCTGATCATAATGATTTAGAGCATTTTTTCATGTCTTCAACCTTCAGTTCTGCCCTGAGCTACAAATGGGAAGTGGGACACAAAAAGCAGAGGCTATAGATAGCAGATTGGAAGGGAAGGGGTCAATGAAAAACAGATTATTGAATCTAACAAACAGAAGTAGACAAAGGGGAAGAAACTAAATAAACACCAAGTTGGATAGTAGAGCAGTGAGGGAATTCAAGGAAAGGGCAAACTGAGTACTAAATATCTTCAAAGACCCTTGAGCATATCTATAATGATGACCCAGAGTCATCAAGAAAAGGTTAAATTGT